AAAGAGTTCGGGTCGGGTCTAATGACAGGCCAAGCAACCTTATAGCGGGTTGGACTCGCGTGTTAGCCGATCTCTTCATCGGGCTTATGCGGCATTTAAAAAGAATGCACGCCGGCTCAAAGCGTGACTTCCCACCACGACCTCCGAAACGGCTTTGGAATGGTAGTAAGAAGAAAAAAAAAGAAAGAAATTCCATCCAGTAGAAGGTAGTTAGACTAGGGAATATCGCGTGCAACTCGGCCAGATGACAGTCCAAGCGGGTCTTAAAGTCCGCCACAGTGGGTGCCAAGACTACATCGGCAGGCAGAGCATTCCACGGTCGGCAGATTCGCAAAGCGAAGTAGTGTCGTCTGCAGTTCAGCCGACTGTGCTGAGGGTGGGTGGTCACGTAGGTGGGAGCCCGATTGGTGCAGTGTGAGTAGGTGGCGACAGGGAGGTCCAGGGTTGGATAAGATCATGAATACAAGGATCAGGTCGCCCCGTAGACGTCGGTAGCTAAGCGAGTAGAGGCCCAGGAACTGAAGTCGTTGTGGATAATCTAGGTGCTTGAGACCTCGGACCAGTTTGGTTGCTCGACGTTGTGACGCTTCGAGTATGCGTTGGTCTTTCAAAAACCAAGTGCCCCAAGCCTGAATAGCGAACTCCAAGTGGGGTCGAAGAAAACGTTGAGGAGTAGGCGGCAATTGCTACGGTCGTTTTGACAGAATGCTCGTTTTAACAATCCCACATGCGGTTAGCAGCAGAAGCTGCTTTCCGCAGGAAACGGATACGGAAAGACTCGTCCGGGTAATGATACCCAAGTTTCTTTCAGCCGAAGAGGGCTGGAGGATAGACACTCCCAGGTGATATGTAGGAGAAAAAGCGGAAGGGCGGGTAGAAAGGACGCGACATTTCGAAGCGTTAAATGGAAGGTTGTTTTCTAGGGACCACTGATGTAGACGGTCGAGGTCCGTCTGAAGTGCATGGGCATCGTCCGGAAGGTTAATTGTGCGCCACAGCTTCGCGTCGTCCGCGTATAGCAGCAGCGAAGACTCCACTTGCGGTGTGACGTCGTTACTAAAGGCTAGGAAGAGGTGCGGTCCGAGAACAGACCCCTGTGGAACTCCGCTTGTGGCAAGGATGCGGGGAGACAACGCTCCGTCGACGCGTACTTGGAAGATACGGTTTTGAAGGTAGTTCCAGATCCAGTCCATCAAGGCCCCTGAAACGCCGTAAGACAACAGTTTCCGCGGCAGAATCTTGTGGTCGACCTTGTCGAAGGCTTTGGCGAAATCCAGGAAGATAACATGCGTTTCTTGGCCAGAGTCGGCTGCAGTCGTCCAGCTGTCCCTGGCAAGTAGCAGGTTACTAAGGCATGACCGTTGACGCCGGAAACAGTGCTGGAAACCAGAGAGCAGTTTCTGGGCCTCCATGTGGTCCATTAAAGCGTCTGCGACGATCGATTCCATCACTTTGGAGATCGTAGATAGGAGAGTTATCGGTCGGTAATTCGCCGGATCTTTGCGGGTACCGCCTTTGTAGATTGGTGTAATAGTCCCACATTTCCAATCATTGAGAACTTTGCCTTGCAAGAAGAAGTGGGTGAACAGCTCCGCTAGGGGTAAAGCTAGAGCTGCAGCGCACGCTCGCAAGAGCCGTGGGTGGAAACCATCAGCGCCAGGAGAGGCCGTTAGCCGCAGGGATTTGAGTTTCGCCAGGACCTTCTCCGGAGTGAAATGAACAGTCGTCAGGGAAGTTGAGAGTGAAACCGAAGAACGTACCGTCGTTGTGTGCATTGATGGAACGGAGAATGTGGATGCGTACTGCTGGCACAGGACTACTGCTGCCTCGTTAGCTGATTTCGTGAGCCCTGTGGGGGTCGTCAATGCGGTGACACCGTGCTTGACTTGTCGAAGACTATTGACGTGACTATACAAGGCTTTGGGACTGGATGAAAATTTACGCATAAGCTGACGCTGGTGCTCACTCTTATCTTTTCGTACAAGATGGACACGTTGGTTACGGATGGATCGGTAATATTCCCACTGAGTGGCCGTTGGATGGGAGCGATAGTTTCTCCATGCCGTGTTTCTGGTGGCAATCCACTTCCGAATACGACTTCGGATGAGTGCTGGGGTCTCTTCCCTATGGAAACTTCTTTGCACGTCGTCGCAGTGGAACAGAGTGTACATGAAAGATAAGAGTTATCTTTTTGGGCGCTACAGGCCTAGTGGACTACCCATTGCCACACCATCGATTTGACGATATGGGTTGTTCTGAAAGTGGATGCCAACGTTTGCTGTACACAAAAACAAGGACTTCTTCAGAAATTCGACTGAAATTGGTAACGAATAGGTAGATTTCTCAGCTACCTCACATATGTAAAGTACAGTTTGTTGTAGTGGGACTTTGTTGAATAGAGATTCCACATCCGAGGAACACATGACCTTCTCGGAGAGGTTGATGTCATCTAAGTCAGCGAAAAGTTGAAAGGAATCTTTAAGGCTATATGGATTGGACAGTTGTGGTAGAGGTGACAGTACCTTCACTAGCCAGCGAGCCAAAGTATGCTGCAGCGCATAGGCCGCAACGACTGAAAAGCAATGCTAATTTATCCAGTGACACTCCGCACATTTGGGCGCTGTTACAGCTAATGGCAATATGGTCAGCGTAAACAAATTAAACAGTCAGCTGTACGCCGTAACGATGCTACGCTGCCACGCGACCCATCAGTCGCACGTGGGCTGATTACACCGCGAGGACGCCCACCCCACACGGAATGTTATCGGCGTAATCCGAGTCGAGCAGTCGATCACCTGGGAGCATCTCTATGCCTTGTAAGTCATGTCCAGTGAACGCAGTCTCCATGACTTCGTCGATGGTGAAGTTAAGAGTGAAGGGAGACAGCGGACATCCTCGCCTCACGTCACTTGAGATACTGAAGTGCGGCGACAGCTTGCCATAATCCGTCACTCTGCCTGGACTGCGCTCGTAAAGCGCTCTGATAATGTTTACTTATTTTTCTGGCACACTTTTCCTGAGTATACAGTCTTAATGAGTACATCGATCAACCAAATCGAAGGCACCTTTGACGTCGAGGAACACGTTTACGGTGGCTTACCGATAAACATCGTGGTGCTTCAATAATTGACCTATTGTGAAGATATGACCATTGCAGCCACAACTCCGACGAAACCTGGGTTGTTCCCCGCCAGTGCCCACAAGTATGAAGAACGCCAAAGGCGATTTTCTTAGAGGCAAATGAGATCAGATTAAGAATTAGGAATATAACGCAGCGGCTTTAGTCTTATAAGACAGTCTCCGGGTCCTACAGCTTAACAAGCAAGTTGTGCAGTTCATCTACAGGAGCTGATCCCCCGAATTTGAAGAGAGCTGGAGGATGTCTATATGCTCTTAAGGACCTAATCAACTTCGACAGTCCGATCTCACGTCTAATTTTTGCCCATGAAGGCAGGTGTAGAAGCACGGACCAGGGTGAAAATCGATCATTGCTCGATGGAGAAGCTGGTGACTGGCTAATTAAGCTGCTTTTCAAAGTTTCGGCACAACGCCCCAAGTGTTTCACATAGTTCGGGCAGGGTGAGGGTTTATGGCAAACTCTCACCACCCTTCAGTATCACCAGCGGTGTGAGACAAGGATGCCCGCTGTCACCTTTCCTCTTCAACTTCGCTATTGATGAAGTCATGGAAACAGCGTTCGCTGGACACGACCTAGAAGGTGTGGAGCTACTCCCTGGTGAGCGACTTCTTGACTTGGAGTATGCAGACGATATTGCCCTAATCTGTGACGGCTCCCAAACATGCCAAACAGCACTGAACCGATTAGCACTGGCTGTCAGTCGTTTTGGGCTATGCTTTGCTCCATCAAAATGCAAAGTACTTCTCCAAGATTGGCAGGGACCCAATCCTGCGCTAACGCTTGGTGGTGATCTGCTAGAAGTCGTTCAGGAATTCAAGTACCTGGACAGCTATATTAGCACCCGTGGGATTGAAGATGAGGTTACGAACCGTATAGCAAAAGCTCGAGGTGCTTTTGCCAATCTCCGCCACCTGTGGCGCAGACGCGACATTACTCTCGCCCTTAAGGGCAGAGTTTACAACGCAGCCGTCCGTTCAACTCTCCTATATGGCTGTGAAACCTGGCCCATCAGGTCGACAGACATGAAGAGACTCGTCACGTTCGATCATCGCTGCCTTCGCAGCTTAGCTCATGTCTGGTGGGAACACCGCGTGAGCAATGAGCGTGTTCGACGTCGCGTATTTGGTGCAGGAAGAGCGAGTGAACCGCTCAGCACGATTATATCACGCACCAGGCTCCGATGGCTGGGCCACGTGTTGCGCATGCCAGCACACCGACTCCCACGACGTGCATTGTTTGCGCGTTGTGGGTGCGGTTGGAAGAGGAGGAGAGGCCAAGTGATGACTTGGTCGCGAGAAATGAAAACCCTCACTTCGAAGTTGGCGTCGGTTGGTGCATCCCGACTGCCTGGCTGGGGTCCTAAGGACGGTGAACACGTTTGGCTGGACACACTTGCTGATATGGCTAGGAGCCGGCCCCAATGGCGTTTGTGTTGTGAGTTCCTTTGTCCATCCCCCTCCTGTTTAGCATCCCCTTCCAAACACGATCTCAATCGTTAGGCATAATATGACTTTCTTTTACGGCAGCCAGCTGTTAGCTCTCCGGAACGATGTCCATCCGTTACTGGGGACTCAGCGGGCGTGCCACTGTTTGTTTGTTTTTTCTTTTCTTGCCTTTTGTATTGCGGCACAATAGCTGAGGTGTTTTCCACCTCCAGCTAACGTGTAATGATGATGATGATGATGCCCCAAGTGTTTTGACAAACTGTGGATTGGTCGTCCACCATCACTACGTATAGACTCGCTACCACCAGGTCTCCTTCTGCCCGTTTCTCATAGATGGAATAATTTCTGATAGTTGTCAACGACAATAGCCATTTCTACCCCCCCCCCTCCCCCACGCACGATGAGACCACTAGATTCCGGGGTCACTGTTCAAGTTAGCACGAAATTTTGCCCTGACGTCTCCTCGAGTCTCATTGTGTTCGCTGCCAGCCGGAATTCGTTGGCGAGTATCCAAATTTTCTAGCGACCGCATAGAAACCTAATGTCCCACTTGTCAGTTCGACTTGCGACATGAAGAAACACTTAATGCTCATTTCATTACAAGAGTGGACCTTAACTTGGTGCGACAATTAGTGTGCCTCTTTGACCAATACTGGGTGGTGCCTCCGTGCACCTTGAGAGTTACACCTAACAGGTTGGCCATTGATTAGAGGTCAGACGAACTCAATCTCCTGATCCTTCAGAGGTTGGGGTTTGAAGTGGCATGGCGTCCATTTCTGCACAACAAATCAGTACCATCTTACTACTGCTGCAGTGGAAAAGACTACAACCAAAAAAGCCCAGTCAGCTATGTAAACAGTTCGTCCAAAGCTCGGTCTAATTCTAAGTATCCGAAACTAGCCGTGTGACTCGACAAGAACACAATCCGAGTCAGTAACGATCTCGCTCCCCAGACACCGAGCAACCAAGCCGGACAGTCACGAAGAAGGCACGCATATCGAGCCGAAACGGGAATGCCGAACGAAATTCTACGAGTCATTGTATCATTTCAGATAATTAAAGCAATTGTACAATAAATAGAGGAAGATGGAAAAGTGCGCAATGTTACAAGCGCTACAGAACTCCACCGTAGAGCGTGAATTGCCAGGATGAACACTAGATACGTACTATCTGACGTGAGTAGCTAGCTTAGAAGGAAGAGTAACTGCACGTCCAAAACGTGTATGCTTTTGTGTGTCAGAAATTGCGACAGGTGGGTCTTGGGGAGGAGAGGGAGCACTGGAGTCACACATCGGTTGGGTGGATGGGATGCACTGAAACGGAGTCTGTTCAACGTCAGAAGTGTCAGGAGTATGTTGCGGCGACAGATTCGGCCTAAGCTGGTTTAAGGCGACCAATACTGACAGAATCTTTAAAAGCATTGCTGTTCAATACGAAATACTTCTCTTTGCGAGCAATGACTTTGCAACTGCCTTCATAAGGCGGTGTCTAAGGTTTGAGAACTGTATCGACTCGCACGAGAACGAAAAGACATGTATGCAAGTCGGTTTGAACGTGTTGGCTTCGAGAAGTGAATCATGGTGGAGTTGGACGAATGGCGCTGAAGTGTTGTTTCAGTCGTGCAACAGATTTCGTAGGATCAACTTCGCCGGTGACCCTGGAATCTGGTACTAATTCTCCAGGAAGTCTGAGTGTCGTAGCAAAGACTAGTTCTTCGGGACAACAACCGAGCTTTTCCTATACAGTGTTGTGGATACCAAGAAGAATGATTAGTAAACGCTGCGAGCACTAGATATTCGATTGCGTTATGGTAAGTGCGGCCTTGATTTGGAGGTGAAAACGCTCAAATAAACCGTTAGTAGCCGGGTGATATGCTGTTGTGCGAAGATGAGAACAGCCAAGCATGCCGTTGAGGTCGCGAAACAGGACAGGATTAAACTGGGGTCCTCTATCCGTGGTGATCATGGCGGGGTGCCGAACACGGAAATCCAATTTTCGATTAACGTTCATTCCACGGTTTCGGCTTAGACGTCTCGCATCAGCACGGCGTGTGGCCAACGTTTGAAACGATCGACACATGTCAACACGTAAGTAAAACCGTTGGACGGCGGAAGGGGTCCAACAACTTCGATGTGGACATGCTTGAATCGAGCGTCGGGCAGCGAGAAGGTTCCAGGAACAGTAATCGTGTGGCGATGTCCCTTGCTGTTCTGGCAAGTGATACAGTGTTTCGTCCACTTCTGGATAGCAGGGCGCATGCTGGGCCAGATGTAGCGCTCCATAATCAGTTTGATAGTGGAGCAGATGCGCCCCAAAACTGTTTCGGAACGAATGATCGAGGCCTTCCAGTGGATATATCACAGTAAATTTGCGAGTCCGAGTTGAGAGCAGGCAGTGGAGAAAATTTACTAGAGAAACTTGTTTTCAACTGCTTGAACTCAGCATCTGTCGATGGGCAGCGATGTCTTCTAGGCTGATTGCTTGGCGTCTAACCTCATGAAGACCAATGCGGGACATAGCGTCGACTGCACCAATGTGTCGAATGTCGGTGGCAACCTGTGATATGTAATCCAACTGACAAGTTTCTCGAGGTGAGAAGCGATCAAAGGAACCACGAAAACCAAACGTAAGGGGGTTATGATCCGTAAGGATGGTAAATGCACGTCCTTCAAGCAAATGGTGAAAATGCTTAACGGCGAGCTAAATGGCTAAGAATTTTCAGCCGAAAGTATTGTATCGCGTCTGTTGTAGCTTTAAAGAGAAGAAAGAGAGAGGCACAGGTTGCCCGTCTAAAACTTGTTGAAGAACAGCACCAACAGCGGTCTGTAATGCTTTAATGTCGAGAATCAAGGATGTCCATATCGATTCTCAAATGAGTAAGGGCAGTAGCACAGGAAATGGCGTGTTTGATCTCGTCAAATGCTGCTGCGGCTTCCGCAGTTAGTTGAAACTAGCGAGACTTGCATTTGAGCAGATCTGTTAGTGGCGGAAGGAGCCTAAAGCATTCTGGAATGAAGCGGCTGTAATAGCTGACCATACCAAGAAAACGGCGTAAGCTTTTGAATGATGCATCGGATAGTCTGCCATGGCTTATGTCTTTTCACGAAGCGGGCTAATACCGTCGTGATCAATTCGGTGGCCAAGAAAGTCAACTGATGACTGACCGAAGTCACACTTATCAGCGTAATGCCAAATTGGTCGAGATGCCCGAAAGTTATGCGGAGATCACACAAATGTTCTTCACGACTCGAGCTGGCTACAAGTATATCGTCAATATGTGCGGAGACAGTCAAGATCTCTGAGAACTTGGTCGATAAATCGTTGAAATGTCTGCGCGGCGTTTCATAGACCGAAAGGCATTCAGACGAATTCGTGGAGACTAAACGGTGTAGTTATGGTCGTTTTAGGCTTGTCATCCGAAGCGACAGGAACTTGTTAGTAGGCTCAGCCAAGATCAGTTTTGGAAAAATGGTTTTGCCATGTAAACCGGTGGAGAAATCGTGAACATGCGCGATCGGGTACTTGTCCGGTACAGTAGAGTCGTTCAGTGCACGGTAGTCTCCGCACCACCCCCAGTCCCCGCTCGCCTTTGTAGAGACCATGTGGAGAAGAAGTGACCATGGGCTTGTTGAAGGGTCGAATAATTCCTAGACGTAGTATGTGTTCGATCTCCGTTTTGGCGGTGGCGAGTTTTTCTGGTGGTAGCCGTCGAGGTCGGGCAGTGACCGGAAGTCTGGAAATTCGCCGGACGACTGGTGAAGCACAGCAAACTGGCGGAGCAAATCTATGGACACGTTGTCAGTAGGTAGTGTCAGTCGAAGACCGATCGAACTGGTCGATGTAACTTTACCGTGTAACTGTCGCGAAGCTTTCTGCAGCTCAAGTCGACTGTCAGACCAAACTTCGTGAGAAAAACAGCACCAAGGACAGGACGCTGAACGTCTGCTATTAGGAAGACGAAAGGAAAGGTTCGTCTGAGTCCTAGATCAAGTGTGAGGAGTTTTTGGCCATACGTAGGGATCTTAGTGTTGTTAGCCGCCTGCAGAGTAATGCCGGTAGGAAGAAGGTAGCGTTTTTCTAATCGGCGAGGTAGAACGCTGACCTCAGTACCGGTATCAACCAAAAAGGAAGGTTTGTTGATGAGTCGTGGACGTAGAGGAGGTGACTAGGAGTTTGGCCAGACACAGCCGTCGCCATTACTGGCTGGCTCGGGCGTTTCCCTGTGGAGGGTTGCAGGGTGCTTTGGGATGAGTGCATCCGGGTCGACACTTCCTGGCATTATCGCCAAATCGACGATGATAGTAGCAGTAATGTCGTGATGGCTTTTTGGACAAATGGTGTCTGTTTCGTGCGGATGATCTACCACTTCTACTTCGCATGCTCTGTATACTCGAGACTGCGACCTCGATTTCGACAAACCGTGACACAGTGACTCAAAAGGTTCGTCTTCGAGAGCACTGATTGAAGGAGTCTACCGCATGAACAGTGGGTTGTTTGGAGAAACACTCGTGCATTCTATCGGCAGTCTGCCAGCTTGTCTGAAGGGAGATCATCATCAGCAGAAACAGCAAGAATAGCAGTGGTGGTGGATGGAAGACATTTAGTCCATAGTTGACGTAATATGCCGTCACCAACTCTCGCGGATGCGGCAAGGGAACGCATGTATCGTAGAAACTGCGAGGGCGTGCGGTCGCCAGGTTCGAAACCTGATAGTAGTTGCTGAAGCCTCGCTTCGTTAGAAGCCGCCATGCACATCAAAATGGCGGATTTAGGTGCATCATAAGGCGCGTCGGGTGGGATAAGGGCGAGTAAATCAGGGACATCGGCAGCGATATGCGTTGGGAGATTCGAGGTAACGTGAGAAAACATGGTAAATTGCGAACTAATACGGCGGCATTGAGAAAGTGCTTCTAACTGTAAAAGCCGAACATGAGTATTGGAAGCGTCGAATGGAGCAATGGAGAAACCCACAAGGCCTTCGGAAGCAAA